CGTTAGGAATTAAGTAGTAGTGGTGGAACAGTTTATTAGAAACACTGGAGAGCATCAAAAATAGATGCGTAACAGAAAACGATATAATAAAATCTAACGAAAAGTGTAACTAAAATAGTCTCTCTGAACACGATAGGAATGTGGAAAAAGGATCGAACTAGAAAAATATATAACGTAAAGAAGAGAGATATGGTAGATTACAGCACCAAATCGACAGAAAGGGGCAAAATCGGAGTGGACTTATCGATATCGAAGATGACGTCAATCGCACGCTGAATCCTGAAAAATCAAAAAGCGCGGGGGTTAGCCCACCAAAACACACCTGGTTCAGTCTGGGTTGCTACACCAGTACACCTGCACAGAAAGCTATTGTTTTAACTCGTGTCAATAACTTGACCGAGTTTGATCAGCTAAAGTCGAAGCTTTCTGAGGGGACTTTCCGCCGCCAGCTTGTATGTCATCATTTTCTAATATCATTTTTCATCAGATTAACCACTTAAGTGCCTTAGGTGGCCCCACTACTTACGTTATGGCGGACAGGGTATTCAAGGCCCTCGTTGCCGATTCCATAACCGCCGACATGATTTTCACCGGTGCATACGTAGACAATCCAAAGCAGGCTTTTGAGAAGTCCGACCTCTACGTCCTTGTAACAGGTAAGCTATCATGTGTTTCCTTTTCACCTTCCCGAACACAGAGGTTGCCGTGGCGTGATGCACGGCAAATAACGGCGACCGCGAAGATATAAAGCGGGCGTTTCAGAGAGCCTTCCGGAAGGCCTATTATAGAATGAACCGGAAGCGCTATATCATACCCAGACGGTCTCGCAACCATGGTGAGTTCAATTGACAACATTATTTACATACGATTAGACTACAGCCTGCGCCAGTCATTCATACTACATAACTTTGCTGTTATCTTCCTTTCCTTCAGACGACAATCCCAACGACGACGAGGGGCCTGGGTCATCAGGTGGCGGCGGCTTGTCACACTCCACGTAACTGAACAGTACACAGCACACTGTGCAACTGTAAAAACTGTGAAATTTTTCTAAGAGAACTACCAATTTT